GTCTTTATTTTAAGCCACTGGGATTTGGTTGGTTGTTACCACTGTCACACCTCATATATTGCATCTCATACATATATTAATGATGACCCTTTATGTAATGAATAACTACTGTATAACTATTCAAATATACAAATAAATAGAAAAAATCAAAGCATTGCATTTTCCAACATTAATTATCAATCTTCAGTGAATCAAATAGAGGGTCAGAAGGTTTGGACATGGTAATATAAAAGGTAAAATGGGTTAAAAAATGTTTATAGAATTTTGAAAATGCAAACAGATATTCATCTTACTTTCCAAGTATCCATGAAACATTTATAAAATTGATTAAAACATAGGAATGAATAATTTAATAAGGCAGATATTGTATAAGCACTGACACTAACCTCAATAAAGCTAAAATTAATAATATAAATTAAGCAACAATTAAATCCCACTTTGAATCATTTGATGAAAAACTCCAACAGACTACTTAGAAGATAAGAAAATGAGACTGCAATATATTAGAACTTTGGGATACGAATGTGCCATACTCAGAAATAAATGTTCAATTAAGAATTTAGAAAAGATACAGAAAAATCTTAGGGAAACCAATATAAACAACAGTATTAAGTAAAAAATACACAAGCAAAGATAAACAGATTAGAAAATAGCAAAATAATAGAATTTAAGAGCTTGTATCCTGGTATTTTAAAAAAGTAAAAAACATTAGTGAACTAGTGAACCTCTTCTCCTCACAAATTTAAAGATAATTTGTTAGCAAACACAGTTTCTGGCCCCAAAGCTGTTTGGGGAGCTGGCCACATGTGCAGGAAGGTGCGGACATGGACCCCAACTGGAGGGAACAAAACTAATAAGGTGCTGGAGAGAGAAACACCCAACCCAGCCTCGGCTTAGGGCCCTGGGCCCAGTGCCTGGGTCGGGCTGCGGCTAACAGGCAGCTGCCCACGATCTCGGCTCCACGCGGAGCCCCGGTTTCTGAGCCGATGGGAAGCTGGCTGCACCTCTCTGACCTCCCAGGTGATGCTCTGTAAACGTCAGGGTTTTTCCTGCCTTTTCTGATGATCTGCCACTGTCCCAACATTTTTCTCATACCTTCAGGATTTGCAGGGGACAGGCCTCTGAAATGTATTTGCAGAAGGATCTAAAAGAAAGTTTCGGGAAGCTGCGGTGCCTTCTACGTGGAATGCAGGGGCCGTGGTTTCTGGGACTGAGGAGCTGAAATGAAAGGGGACAGAGTGGCAGAACAGGAAGACAAGGTGATGAGACAGGAAAAGAACGAGACATGGAAAACTTGCAAAGAAGGCAAAACAGGCAGAACCTGCCATGGTGGACCCAGAGGCCCCCGGAAGGCAGTTCAGAACAGAACAGGTACAGTGGAAGATCAAGTCAGGGGTGCGAATACAAACTCAGGTTCTGGAACAGGACAAAGAGTAGACAGGGTGGGGGCAGGAGTCTACCTGTGCTGGGGGTCAGGCAGCTGCTTCAAGTGGGTCAGCCCTGGGGAGCCGGTGCGGGGGCTGGCCAGGTGCCCCTTCTGCTCCTGCGCCTTCCCTGTGGAGACGGCATCTGCCCAGGGCCTGGACCGGGACGGGATGGAGAACACCAGGCAGTCCGCCACCAGGGAGAGGACACTGTCGCCTGGCGGGGCATGGAGGGAGCACCGGAGACCCACCGGCCAAGCTCAGTGAGGGTACAGCTGTGGGCCGCCCCCAGAACCTGAGCCGCCCATCATGCAGTGGCCACACTTCTGATCCAGTCGGTCCTCTGTGTCCTGCAGTCAGGATGTGGGCCTGGCTCTGGGAGGAGCTATCGGCCCTCCACCTGCCAGGGGAGGCTATTGCCCCCTGCCTAAACCAAGGCCCCCTGAAGCCGTGGAGTCTGTCTCCTGGCCATCCTGACCGGCTGACCTCCGCCGGCCCCCTCACGGGACTCCCCTGCTGGCTGGGGTCTGGTGGGCTTAGCCAAAGTGGCACCACAGAGAGACGGGGGTGGGGGCGGGGGTTGGGGGTAGTTCTCCCTTCTTCTGCCCTGTTTTGGCAACACATCCTGCATGCCACACAGCCCTCTCAGGGTGATGCCTCCACCCAGGTCCCACTCAGGGACTTTCCTGCCTTCACCCCCGTGAAGAAACTGGCTTCCCGTGGGGCTCCTGTGTCGCCCCTGCCCCCACCTCTGGGAGCCATCTGAGTCAAATTCCCATTCTGAGGGGGCCCTGAGCATTGCTCCCTAACTGAGGGGGGGGCCCTGGGTCTACACCCAGCCTCTGGCAGAGCTGAGAGCTCCTCCCACAGAGGAGCAGGGCTCAGGCCTGCCCAGGCCCTGCAGAGCCCCTGCTGCAGGCCCATCTGGACCAACCCTGGGGGGCTGTCGGGGGAGGGCTGTCCCCACCTTGGGCAGTGGGGGGAAGGCAGGCTCCTGGAGCCGTGTGCCTGGTGTGTGTCCTGGAGGCCCTGGCCTCCCCATCACCCCGTGGTAGTGACTGGGGTTCCTCTCTAATGCCTGGCATGGGTCTCTCCCCTAGGTGTGCCTGAGAGCTGAGGTGGTGCTCCTGGGCCCAGTCTGTGGGTGTGGGCTACTCTATGTCCCCAGCTACGGTGCCGGGGAGCCTCGACCAGGCTGGCTCTCAACTCCTCTCCGTTCCCTCCACCCTGAATCCCCAATAACTGAACACCTCAGAGAAGGGAATGGCTCCTCCTGGGACACCCTGAGACCCTCTTTGCCTCTGTCCAGTCCGGGGCCCTGGACAGGGAACACTGTGACACTGGAAAGGTGCCACCCTATTCCTGGAACCATCCCTTCAAACTGGTCCTGGCTGCCATGACCACTCCATGCAGCTGAGAAGCTGCAGGTTCTCCAGGAGGCTTTGGAGGGGGGCACGCTGGTGGCGGTGGGGAGGCTGGGGCCCAGGCCAGAGGACTGGAAGCTCTGGGGTAAAACCACCTGGGCAATCTTTGGAAGTTTCAAAATGTTTCCTGTTCCTTAGGGAATATCGGTTGATCCTTCCTGGCTTTCCAGCAGAAAGTCCTGGCTGGGGTGACGTCCACATCACTGCCAAGGACACTGGCTGGGGGCTTTAGGTTGGCATGTCGAAGGAGAAGTGGCTGTCCAGCAACATTCCTGCCAGCAGGTGGGGGGGCTGGCCTCCACCTGGCCGGGCCTGAAGTTGGCAGGAGAGGGTCGTGTGTGTTGCTCTGTTGTCCCAGGGCTAACTGACACATGCAAGTGTGTCTTGGCACAGAGACTTGCAAGAGACACATGCAAGTCTCTTGGCAGGATAGCAGATGCAGCTTAGGCCTGAGGGTCCCAGTAGCTCCAGGTTACCAGCAGCCCAGGGACTGTCCCAGGGAAAACCTTGAGTTCCTGGAGGCGGCTCCCCGAATCCCAGCTTCACCGCTCCTCTGTCTCTGGGCTTTGGGAGAATGTGATTGACCAGCTTCCAGTGAAGTCTGAAGTGTGCCCACCTGCCTCTTCCCACTTGCTCCTGCTTTTGTAGCGGCCCCAGCCCAGGGTCTGCATTGCACATGGCACAGGGAGGCCTGGGGGCTGGAACTTCACCCTGACTTACATGGGTACTTGAGTTCCGAGCCACAGAAGCAGGTGAGACCTGGGAAGAAGGGAGCCACACCCAGTCCCCGGAAGTGGGCCCAGGTGTCCACGTGAGCAGTGGTGGAAGCTGAGGAGGTGGGAAGACCTGGAATCTTCCCAGTCAGAACACGTCTTAAAAGCAGTTTCCTCTCCTGGGTTGGGTCACGGTGTTGGCCCCCCCACTCATCTGACAACCTGCTGCTGGAGGGTGACTTGGGAACAAAGGGTGACTCGGATGCCAGCAGAAAGGCCAGGCCCCGGCTGCCTCCCCCAGTGCTGAGTTTCCTCTGGAACTGCTCAGCCGGCCCGCGACCCCGTGACCCTGGGGCCACACAGCTCCCAGGGTCCCCGAGTGGGGTCAAGCCCACTTGATGCAACCAGCCTGAAAGGCTCTTAATGTCCCCGCTGTCACCAAACGGGGACAGGAGACACACGGGGGAGACTGCACCAGAGTGTCATTGTACCAAGGATGTAGTCAGATGGTCTCAGAATTACTTAGGAGTTTCCCACAGGTTCTAGGAAAAGAGACTCTGAGTGTCCACACTCTCACGTTTAAGGGGCACAGGGCACAGGAACCGCGACTGTGAGCAGCTGCAAGTGGAGAGAAAAACCACACCCTCCTCGCACAGCACACTCTTTTGGTCCCCTGCCCCTACCTTCCCCACCCCCTCACTGGCCTTCGCTCTGAGTTAAAAACCACCAGCAGGTCTACATGGCACTTCTGGGATTTGTAAGGCTCCCTGAGCAATTCTGCAAGATGCACAGAAACGTCTAGGTCTCCCCACACAGAAGGGAGGTTCCCAGTTCTTCCTCAGTGACAAAGAGAAGACTCGAGAGAATCAGAGGTCTCTCCGTCAGCTAAATGCAATGTTAATTTAATTCCTGACTTCTGACCTCCTGGCTGTCAGGTGCTCTGGGTGGAGCTTCTTGACCTGGGCAAGCGGGTCAGAGCCATTCAGGACTAACAAAGTCCCCAAGGCCAGCCCATCTGGGGAGACCAGAGGTGAGAGATTTGGACCCAAAGAGCCAGACCTGGGAACCCTGCTGCTGGATCTGTCTGGGGGGGAACAGCCTGGTCTCCCACATCCGCCCTCTTCCTCAGTCTACTTCCTAAAACCAAATGCTAGTTTATAAATGAAGACAGTTTTCAGGGTGTTCATGGAATGACTTTTTTTTTTTTACATTTTTCAACTAGTTAAGACAAAAACATTACAATGATTGACTTCTTCCATTGTTACATAAATAAAATTTTTATAAATATCTCTTTATAAACAATATAAATAGCTTTACAACATAAATACATTTATGCATGACACGAATTTACAGACAGCAGTGTGTATCGCTGGTTTTGTCCATCTCTCCAAACAAACTGTCCCTTGTCATCATGTTGGCGTAGGTGTGTGTTTCGTGTATATAATATATATATAATATATAACTTTTTATTTTTCATTTTCAAAGACAAACAAACAATGAAATCAAACCCCCCCTCCCCAGATAATAATAAAACAGCTGGTGTTGCATTTTCCCGGTACCACAAGGGGGAAAAAAGGAAAGAAATGTAAAAGCCACATTGCCTTGGCGGTGCTTCCAGATGACCAAGGATGACCTCAGCAAAGCGGAGCGAGTTCTCGGTCCTGAAACACAGAGGGGACACGGGGCACTTAGTGCTGGCCCCTGAGCTGAGAAAGCCCGGCAGACCTCCCTCCCCTTTCCCGATGCAGCAGGAGGCAATGTCCCTGTACCTGTGGCCCTCAGACCCTGATGCCAGCCTTCCAGTAGGAGGGGGGCCCTGCCTCACCTCCTGCTGGGGCCCTGGCACTTCCTGCCCAGCACCGGGTGGGGCTAGAGCCTGGGCCAGCCCTCCTCCCCTCGGGCTAACTGTGGGCTGGCGCTCCGGGCGCTCTGTGGGGTCCAGTGAGAGGAGGAGCAGGAGAGATGCACCCCTTCCCTTTCTCCCTCCAACACAAACCCTCTGACAGGTGCTCACCTGGATGACGGAGGAGGGGAAACGTCGGAGGAGTCAGGGGTCCAGGGTTCGAACCCTAGCTCTGATTAATTATGTCCTGCCTGGCCCTGGAGAGCTTTGAGTATCGTTTCCCTCACCCATAAAATGGGATAATAGCCACTTCCCAGGGCTGGCTTCACCGAGGGGCCACACACTGGGCATCAGCAGAGCCCTGGGTCCCAGCTGCCCTCAGTAAACAGCACTTCTGTCCCCAGCTGGCTTCCCCTTGGAAGGGTCTCCTTTGAGAGCAGAGGAGCCGGCGCCTGCCCAGACCTGTGTGATGAGGAACGGTCACGCTGGGTTTTGCTGGTTCAGCCACCAGTTACTGGGTGAGCGCTGTCCCTGGTCTTTGCTGATGTGTGTGTGGGTGCTCCAGGGCCCCAGGAAGGATCCTCCGGAGACAGTGCGGTGCCCCCCACTCCGTCCTGGCTAGCTAGAACGGTGCGTGCAGAGGGACCCCGGGCGACCTCTCCCACGAGGCCCTTCTCTGGCCGTCTTGTGTGTTTAAACAGAGGTCTCTGGGGCCCACGGCCAGGTGTGTTCGTTCAGGCATTGGCCTCACCCTGTCTCTGTCATTAGCATTTTACAGTCAAGACTGTAACCTCAGCGACAGTCATTATGGCGGCTGCTTAGAAGAGCCAAGGTTGTGGGGGTCAGGAGGGGGTTGGGAAGGTTAAGGGTATTGGAGGTGACTTTCAGGAGGCTGACTGATTTCCCCAAACAGGGGGGTTGAGATGTCTTAGTGACCCCGGCTGGCTCATCGTCTGACACCCACAGACAGCCACCGCTGAGAACAAGGAGGCTGTGGGGTCGCCCATGCTGGCTGCTTTCCAGGCCTTCATCTCCTCTGCTGCTAACCCACAAAGTAACACCGGTCTAGACTCTAACGTGTGAGCTCACTGCTTCAGTCGTAAATGAAAAACCGCGCCTCCGTCTCTGCGGTGCTGAGACTGGAGAAAAGAGAGAGAGCCAGGTCATCACAATGGCACCTATGCAGTCTGGACCCCGAGGGCGGGACCCATCTCTCCCCTGTAGGGGCGAGTCAGACCAGCAAAGCCATGTCTGGCCGCAGAGACAGGAAGGGTGCCTGCTGGAACCCCAGGCAGGTGCAGAGGAGAGCCCCTGAGCTGGGTGGGGCAGGTTTCCCCAGGCAGTGACACCCGGGTGCTGCGGGTCGCCATCAGTTAGCGCCTGGCCCTGAGTTAAGCTGCGGAGGCGACTCAGAACTCAGGGGGAAAAGTGTGCCAGCTGTGGGGATAGAAGGTAAGCTCACAGGGCGGTCTGGTCATAAAGTCCTAATGGGGCAGGTCGTGGTGGGTAGGCACGCCCCAGGCCTATCACGTCCCCAGTAAAATGTCTATCTTTGCCCTAAACCAGCCCTGCCTGTGTTTGTGCATCTCGATTATTCTGGCCTTTGAAACGCCAGAAGAGTCCTTTCCAGACCCTGGGAAGCATCACCACCCTTGGGAGAGCAGTGATCTAGTTAACCAGCCCATCCCGCTTTCTCCCACCTTCATGTAATCTTCTTTAGTTCTGTATTAATTCCAAGTGCGTGAAAGAAGCTGCAAACTGCCATTCTCTGGAGCGCTGGAGATCTTGCCTCCCAGCAATGTCGTCAGTTTGGCTCAAATAAACTCATAAAAATTATTTATAAATCTGGACATTTACTTGTCATTGCTGGCAGGATTTTGAAGAAGCCTGACCAGGACCACCCTTGGACCCGGACCCAGTGCTAGGTACCAGCACGGGCCCATTGAGCCCCACCAGCTCCCCACTGCAAAATGGGGTGAACTTGGGTCAGTTTTCTCTTGGGATCCCAGACCCCCTCGCTTTACGTAGCAGGTCCTGTCTTTATTTGAGCTGTTATTACAAAATCCTCAGGGTGAATCAGGGTTAAGATAACCTAAGGGAAGGACAAGAAAAATGGACGCCTACTTTTCATTTCAGTTTACTTGGATTGCCGACTGAGAGTCTGAACAAATGCTTGCTGGTTAAATGAGAGACAAAATGTCTTTGCCTCCAAAAGGAGAAAGGACACTTGCTTCCCCACCCCGAACCATCGATAGGGTGGCGATAGAGGTTGCAGATCCTCAATCCGGGGTCAAGCTCGGGAAGTTGTGCCACGGGGCGACAAGCACGGGAGGGACTTCTAAATCTGAATCTTTTGCGTGCGCAGTGAGAAAAAGCTGACTACAGAAGTAGATGGAATGAATGGAAAACATATTTTAACTGGTCTCTCAAAGCTTCAGTAGGAGAAATTTGACCAGTGGATCAACCTGGGATGTGGCTGAGGTGGCAACTCAGCTCTCTGAGGTATGAGAAAACAGCTGTCCTTATTGTTAAAGGGGGAAGGTCATTTGGAACTTGACTTGTGCAGGACAGATATGAATGGTGTCTTCTTATCCCAACTGCCAAAACAAAATCTGCATCCACTGTTTATAAACTAGTGAATTTTTCTTGTGGCTAAATGGTCTGTTTGCATGTGTCTGTGTGTGTCTGTCTGTGCATGTTGTGAATATGAGATCATTTTCAACCTCTGGATAGTATTAATAAAATCAATTTAATAAATTAAAATTAATTGATTTGAAGGCAAACACTTATAAGAATTGGGTATGCTAAAATTCTTAGAAATATGGAAACTAACCCAAATTCTTCTCAAGTTCATGTGGTCTAAGATTAATCTTTAGTAAAGTCTGTTGGCTCAGTCCATGTTAATAACTGACTTTGATGTCTATGAAATGTTTCTAAAGGTTATAAAATGTCCTCATAAGTGACTTCTTGGTTTTCATTAGAAATTGAGGTTTTCCTTCCTTTTTTTAGATGTTTCCTGCACGGTTTGTCTCCTCGGTCCCTGTCCAGAGGACTCTGAGAAGCCGTAGGGAGACGCAGGCACAGACTCGAGGCCTGACTTTCTCTCCAAGGTTGTGGAAAGGGGCCGTGCATCACCGGGCAGAGCCCTGGGCTCCCCGATGCCACCTGGACAGAGCCCGGGAGTGACTGAGGTTTTTCAAGGGTTAATATCTCAAGGTACTTATGCAATTAAAACTACTAGAAGTAATGTTGCAGTACTTCGGAAAGGCTCCGGCACACCTCAAAAGATTTGTTTTTGTTATGTTGCGTAGGACGCTTTGTACAGTCAGTGACAGGAGACTTCTACAGTATGTTGTGTGGGCGAACAGCAGCTGTAAGTTAAACTTGCAGTCGGGGCTCTGGGAAACCCAACACGGCCTCTGTGCTCCCCCAGGCTCCCTGGCTAAGCCCATTCTCTGGGTTTTGCCTTCCTTCATGCATCCCAGTGCAATCTTAAGCTGACCTGAAGTTAGATGAAGGATCTTATGATCTGACATTTGTTGAGAGGAGACATCGTACACTGTGGAAAGTTTTGATAAAGTTCTTTGAGAAAATGCCAAATTGGTTACCACTTCCTCCTTTCCCAGGGAGATCCCAGGACATAAAGACTTAAGATATTGTTTTTTAGAAAGGACGTCAAGTAAAGAAAGACACTCTCCAGCCTCATGGGAAGGGACCTATCAGGCACCTAGTGATGAATGTCACCTACCCTTGTCTCCACCTATGGGGGACATCAGAGACTCCTCTAGGATGAGGGGCTGTTGGCATCAGAGGTGAACAGCTGTCCCGAGACACTGACGAGGCCTGTGTACCTCCAGGTTGATGTCGAACTCAGAAACTGTTTTGTTTGATTGTCTTTACCTGTCTGCCAACGATATCAGCCATAGTAATAGTTACACTCGCCCTTCGGGTTTTTCTATACAGTCCAACTGTTTATGACGGCTGAGCATGTATCAGATAACAGCTAATACTCTTTATGGCTTATGTAACTGCTACTCTACATGGAAATATGGAAAAAGCAGAGAGCCAGCCAAACTAGGACCACGGGAGGTCACAGGATGGGAATGATGCGGGTGGTGTTCACAACGACGGCCACTCGACCTGACTGCCTTCCGTTTACCTGCCCCGCCCTTTTCGGGAAAACGCGGCTCGACTCACACACCATGGGGACGGGACTGCCCCTTCCCCAAAGGTCAACAGGAGGATGTCGATACTGAGACTTCCTAGGAATGAGACGTCCTGGTGCTGAGACCTCACTGTCGGACCGAAAGGCTGGTCATTAACGCATTCTTCAGGTTGAGTTATGACCAAAAGGGGAATTGTGAATGGAAAGGGGCTCTACAGCAAGTCACTTCACAGGGTGACCTGATCCTCAGTTCCTAACTGGGCAGGTCATGGTGGGTAGTCATGCCTCAGGCTTAGAACTTCCCAGTAAAACGTTACCTTCTGCCTTAAGCGACCTCTGCCCATTGTTCCTGTGCATCCAGGTGAACACACTTTTGAAATGACTCCTTTTCAGATCTCTCAGAAGCATTAAGATTCTCAAGAGAGCATAAACTCCCGTTAACTATCTTGCAATCCAATCCCTGCCTTGCTTTCTCTCACCTTCACATAATCTTTCTTACATTGTCTCCTTAATTCCGAATGAATAAAATAAACTGCAAAACTGTTATCCTCTGGGGCAAGATTTGAGATCTTGCTTCCTGGCAACTGTTGTCGGCTTTGCTCAGATAAACACTCATAAAAATTCTCTCTAGATTTGGACGTTTCTTACGTGGACAACTGTAAAAAAAAAAGGCTTAAGCAATGTGCTGGAGGGTTTCAAAAAGGGGTGCTCTCGCTACCCTCTGGGGAACACAGTATGGACACTGATAAGGCTTCTTGGGTGAGACAACAGCTCGTCCTGGAGTGGAAAGAACAGACAGGCTGTGGGACAAGGAACAGCAGTAGCCAGGCTGCAGGAGAAGGCTGGGGACCAGTAGGAGTCAGGTTCTAAAGCACTTCGAGTGTCAGTTTGCAAGGTCGGGTTGTGTTTTTGCCTCGGGCACCGACAGGCAGCAGGAATGGAGAGAAGGTAAGGGGAGGACGTGGGGGCCTTTGCCACCGTGCTTCTCCAGGTTGTGGCACCTGGCAGGGGGCGGGAGGGAGCCCAGGGGCTTCTAGCCCTGGTGGAGATGAGGAGGCAGTGCAGGGAGCCCAGGTATGACGGGCGTGGGGAGGTTGATAAGGAGATCAGTTTGGGACAAGCTGAGTTTGAGATTTATAAGGTTTATTTTAGTCTCTTTTTCCTTGCCCTGAAATAGTGTCACAGACACTGAGGTTCGTTCCTGAAGTCACACGGGCTGCAGCAGCATCAGGACCCTGGACAGACCAAATTGCCCACAGCCACTGTTTGGAGAAGGGATAAGAATCAGAATGCCCTGGGGGCAGGAAAGCTCTCTGGTGGTGCCAATGGAGGGCTACTCTCTCTGCAGCGAGGGGGCAGGAATTTCTCCAAGTCTGTCCCACCTGAGGGACAAGAGGTCTGGGAAGCAACCCGACCTCTGTGCTGCCTGCCGCTGGGCACCGAGATATAGTGGCTGGGAGATAAACTTACCCTGGGCTTGAGTGTGTGCTCTTCCTCCTCTGTTCCCACAAACCCATGCTCTCCCCTCAAAGCTCCCCCTTTGGCATTTTGGGGTCAGTGCTGCCAGTCCACTTATGGTCCAGGGATAGGCGGGAGCCCTCTAAACTGTCTCTGCTTCTCCAGAAGAAGTCGGGTGTGCTCACTCCTCCTGAGCTATTTCTGACCTTTCCAAAGTCCCCTCACCACCTCATCCCTCACTTTCTCCATCCGTAAAGTGGGATGATAAATAGGATTGGGGGCAAATGCCTAGCGCACACCACGTAATCTCATGTCCACATCACTGGTTCCCCTCCAAAGGCCCTGGGAGGCCGACCGGCACCAGGGCTATGGGATCCGCCAGCGGGTGGGGGTTCAGGCTAGGTTCTGGCGGGCGCCGCGGGAAAGCTAGGTGTGCGGGAGCGCCAGGCGGCCAGGTTGGTGGTACTCACCGCCGCCAGGGGTCGCCGCCCTAACATCCCAGGCCGCTCGTGGCGCCGATCCGGTCCAGCTTGAGGCCGAAACAGCCCTTGGACGAGCCCTTCTTGGTGCCCGATTTCTTGCGTGTGTTGGGGTTCTCCTGCAGAAGGCGGGCCCACCGAGACTTGGTATCCACGCGCAGGTCCCGGAGCAGTCTCGCCTGGTCGCCCTTGAGGTTGGCGCCGCCGCCTCCGGGAGTCTTGTCGCGCTTCTTTTGAGCGCCGCTCTCAGCATGGGACACAGCCGACACCTCCCCCAGCGGAGCTCGCGGGACCTGCCCGAGGAAAAGAGCAGGCAGGTGAAGGGATGCACGGGGGCAGCAAGGGGTACTTTGCGGGGTCCCTGATGCTCCAGCCTGACGCGCCTGTGAGCGCGCGATCTGTCCCTTCGGAGCCCTGAGCACGCCCCCACTGATGCAGGACCGCTCGGCCCTGCATCCACCTGCCACGGGGCCGCCGCTGTTCGCTCCTTCGGGGAGCCCTTTACTCTCCCTTCCTTTGCCTCTCGCCCAACTGGGGCAGGGGCTGCGCATCTGTCGACGTACTCCCGAGGCTGGGGACGTCGACCCACGAATCCGAGCTTCGAGGGCTCCCCGGCTCTCACCACTCACATCTCAGAGGAAAGGGCTGCCTTCCCGCCCTCTCCGCTCCCTCTGGCGGGCCTCGTCCTCCTAAACCCTCGGCCCTCCCGCACAGCCCCTCATAGTACTACAGCGCCGCGACAGAACCCACCTTTGGCGACCCGGGCTTGGCTTCGGAGGGCAGGAGCGACAGTAGAGTGAGCAGCAGGGCGCAGGCCAGCAGTTGGGAGAGGTGCATGGTGCCGGTGGAGTGGAGGGGCACACACCGGCGGCAGCGAGGGCAGATGCGCAGGCAGGCGCACGGCGGGCTAGCTGGGCTTCTGTGCGGACCGGGGTCCCAGAGCTGCACGGCGCCGGCTGGGTGCGCTCTGAGTCCGTCGCTCAGCTCGAGCCTTTATAATCCAACCTGCCGCTGATGTCATCCCCCCGCCCACCCAGCCGCCAGGGCCAATGGCACGCGCTCAGAGGGCTGGGAGGGGGCCGTGAGGGCTCCCCCCTCTGCCCCCACCCTCATCTCACCCCCGAGGGATCCCGCGGCTCAGCAGGCTCTCTCCCGACTGTACTTAGAGCTGCAAAGCGGCGCGCAGAAGGGAACTCTATTTGCATCAAGCGCGCGCCCTGGCGTGCCAAGCATGCCAAGCGTCCGTGTTCCAGCTGCCGGGCACACACCCTTGGCCTTCAACGCACACCCTCTTCCTGGAAGGGATCAGTGTCCCTCTTTGCAGGTGCAAAGACAGGCTCAGAGGAATTAAGTCACTTGCCCAAAGTCACACAGCCAGAAAGTTGGCACTGCCCGAAGTCCACGCAGATCTGACTTGTTGCCAAACTCTCCCCCCAGCACCTGACAGTCTCAGGCCTGGCTCCTCTCGGCTCCACTTTTCACCTGCTGGCGGGGAGTTCAGGTCGCACCGACACCTTTGGGATGGGAAGGTAGAGAACTGGGTTGAAGGTCTGGGCCCAGGGACAGAGGCGATCTCCCTGGGCCACAGCAGGGAGCACCAGTCCTACACAGGAATGTGCAAGCATTTCCCCAGATGGTGTGTTTGAGAGGGAAGAGCGAACGAGGTGGGCTAGGAGAGCAGTCCTGAAATTCAGGTGCCAGGTGTGGTGGCATCGTGTGTCTGCCACTGCGGCTCTAAGCGCACACTCAGCCCAGCTGCGAGTACAAGCACCGATGGGGGGCGTGCCAGACCCTATCTGTACCCGCGCCAGGATCCACAGGGTGGGGCTGTCCACCCCAGTGTTCTGTGTACCTGTACAAACTGGAGAGGGTTCTTTAGCTAGCCCTGAGCTCAGTATGGCTGTGGTGAGCCAGGATAGCTGGTCGCCTTTGCGTTTTCCCCATAGAGAGGTCCCTGTCCTGGCTGCGGGACACAGCCTGCTGCCCACGACTCCTCTCTTTGAGCAGGGTGTTTGATTTCTCCAGCTCTGAGGAGAACCTTTGCAACGAGCCTCCGACCTGAGAGGCCAGCAACAAAAGAATTCAGTGAATTACAGGAAACTATGCCTCGGCTGCTGCCCAGCAGAACTGGGCCGGACAACCCGGGAGGAGGGAGGAAGGAGGAAGCTCCAGGTGGGTGATGGAAGTCGGTTGCCTGCTGAACAAAGAAGAATGTAGTCAACCTAGAATTTCTCTGAGATTTGCTGCACTTACACGAGCTTAAGGAGCTAGGCAGACCTACTCTAGAGCCAGGCACTGGGCTGGTTTCCAGTTGCTAAGAAGACTCACAGGTTGCAGCAGCGGAAATCAGCTTTTTCCCAGAGAAGAAGCTGCACCAGAGGCAGGAGGACAGCAGGAGTGAAGAGGGGTGGGAGAATCAGGTACTAGGAGGTGGCTCTGCAGCAGAGCCTGAGCTCAAAGCTGGGAGGCAAAGGTTTTACGTCCCACCCTGGCACACTGAGTCAGAAACTGCCCACCAGCGAACCGTGCCCTAGGGGTCTTTGTTTAAGAAGTAATCTACATCTGAGGCCTGAGTTTGGGTAGAAGAATCTCCTGCTTTTGAAGTGGATCCAGACATGAACAGAGCACCCTATGTGAGTTCTGGTGAGTTGACTCACCACCTCCATGCAGCCACCACAGATTGCCTTTCCAAGATAACCCCTAGAGAGTGGCACCACTCTTTCATTTGAGGAGAATGAGAGAGGAGCAAGAAGGGGATGAGGAAAGTGTCTCCAGGTGGGTGATAAAGATCCCTACTGGACAGAAAGGAACGTAAGCAGCCTGGAACTTCTCCGAGACTTGCTTTATTCACACCGCCTATACCGGGCAGAATGACTCCAGAGCCGGCACTGGGCTGGCTTCTGGCACAACAGCTACACCCTCTGAAACCCCTTATTAAGGACAGGTTGGAAGCTTCCAGGGCTCCATCATCACTCGGTCTGAATGTCCATAGGCTAGTCCTCCCTGTGTTCTGTATGTCTTGTATGTGCTTGGTGACAGCAGGTAACTGCCTAGGTTCCCTGTTTTTGAGCTTTGAGACTAAATTAGAGTGAACCGTGGAGCAAGGCCTCCCTGGGGCAGGCCATACAGCAGCTCCTGCTGAGCTGGGGCCTGAGAGGTAGGGCGGATGGGTGTTCTAGGCCTGGGCTCAAGGGGCATTAAGGGTGGGAGGTGGTCAGCACAGGACTATCTTTGCTGCTGAAGGTCCCCCCCCCCCAATCCTTGGCTTCATTGCACAGGAAGCTGCAGAAGAGACTGTGTTCCTCCTGGGTCTAGAATGGGCCCTCAGGTCCCTTCCTGCTTTTCCCTAGTGAGGTCCACTTCTGCTCTGGCCCTAGAAGCCAGCCCTGGGAAAGCTGGACCCGCTGAGCCGAGGCATGTGAGCTGATCGTGGCACTTCATTGCATGCTCAGTGTGAAAAGTCCTCCCAATGGAGGGAACCGGATGCTGTCGTTGTGACTTTCCCACCCACCGATTCTCCACGTACTCACCAGGCATCCCTGCAGGCTGCAGAGTCCCATCGGGCAGGAAGAACCCAAAGGAGAGGCGCATGGCAGGGAGGAAGGACATCTCCCCCAGCCTGGACTAGGGGGTAGGCTTCCTGGAGAAGGAAAAGCCTGTGCTGAGTGAGGAAAGGAGACCAGCAGGAGGAGAGAAGGGAAATCCAAATGGAAAACAGCAATGTCCCTTTGGCCTATGGGGGAGTGCATCCCGGTTTAAAAGGCAGTAAAAAAAAAATCAGGTGAGAGACTCTCCTTGCTGAGGGCAACCCAGTGAAATGAGGGACCTGGGAGGGCAGTGATGTTGCAGAACCCAGAGTGCCCAGACCTCGGGGAAAGGGGGGTGGCATTCAGGTAGGGTGCCCAGAGGAGGCAAGCTTGGGAGACAGGCAAACCTGTGGGGGGGGGGAGGTCCTGGAGGCAGGTGATGGGATACAGTGGGGGAGGAGCTTGTCTTCCATAAGTGGGGGCCTATTGAGCTCTTGGGGGTGGGGAGGGCAAGCAAGCCTGGGGGGCATGACAGGGGAGGCTGAGGGAGAGTTGTCAGTGGTAGGGGACGCAGAGAGGGAGCAGGGAGTGGGAAGGACAGCGCAGGCTGAAGTGTGCCAAGCCCCAGGCATCAGAGAAATTGTATGGTTGGGACCCGCCTGGACTTCTGAAAGCTGGGGATGTGGGGAAAAAAGATCTCATTCTCGTAGGTCCCTCTTCCCTTTTCCCCTTCTCCTTGAAGGGCAAGGTGAGACTCTTGCACCTACCACGGACAGGCCCGTCCTTGGGACACTGGATGTCCCGTTGCTTAGCAGGACCTTATGGAAGATGAGAGGGTGTCTTGGTGAGGATCGGTGAGGATCCTCCACGGTGACAAAGGTGTACAGAGGCTTTTGGGAGGCTGGGGAAGGGATGGCTAAGGCAGCGTTGCCCAGCCTCACTCCCCAGGAGGTGGGAAGCAGCGCCCTGGGGGAACAGCGCCTCCTCCTGGCCCTGGGGCCAAACAGGAGGATTCTCAGGCGCACTTCAGTGTACAGGATTGCTCAGCGGTCCATCTGTTTTCCTCTGCAATTATTTCATCCCAGGGGCCCCCTTCCAGCTGCATAACTTCTCAGAGAGGACACTGAACAGGCGGTGAGCAGATCTCATGGAGGCCGGGCAGGGAAATTGCAGCAGGATCCCGGCCAAGTCCCATCACTGCATGGGGCCTTCAGTTTCACCACCTATAATTGGGAAAAAGCAGAGTGAATCAGGAGACCGGATGAGAGGCTTCTGACCCCTGCATGAAGGCAGGACAGCGCAGCTGTGGCAGAAGAGGGGTCTGAATATTACTACATAAACACACACACTCCCAGAGGGCGGGGGGGGGTTGACCCCATACCCCAGAGACTCCATGGGACTGTCTGGTGATGGAGACCCATGGAGGACCCAGAGGCCATGGCCTGGCCGGGTCTCCTTGAGCTTGGGACCTCCTCCAGGAGTCCTGCACCTACAGGGCCTGGCTGTAGGAGAGGATCTGGAGGCCAAGGATACGTCATCCACCCTTCCTGGGCCAGAAATTCCAGGAAAGCTTAACCTCATCGTGACACAAGGTCTCTGTCTGACCCCAGGACACCCCCACCTGACCAGCCAGCTGCTCTCCTTTTCCTTTCCCAGGGGCCCTGCCAGCACCTGCTGCAGACAGCCTCCAGCCCTGCCGTCCTACGCAGCCTGTGACGTCAGAGTTTATCCCTGAGTTCTTCCCCTCCCTTTTCAAATGAAAGATAGACGGAGAGATAGATGAGCTCCTCAGATAGCCTCCACAGACAGGCTCAGTTCCTTGGGGGCGGGAGGGGGGAACAACGGCTCGCCGTGAGGCTGTCAACACACAGGCGAGGCAGTAGAAGCTGGGTTCTGAACCCTGAGAAAGTGAGCAGGGTGGTGAGGGAGGGGGGCCTCCTCGCAGAGGACACAGCAGCATCCCGACCTCAGCGTGGAGCATGCACCAGATGTTTGCAGAAGGAACGGATCTGCTGCCAGGCCCGGGCCTGCGGGCCTGGCTTGCCTTGGCTGGGCTCTGCAGCTTTTCCACGTGGGGAGCTGCCCCTTGCTGCTCTGGGGGTCCCTGCACTGAGCCCGCTTCTTCGTGGGCACCCAGAGGAGGGTGTGTATTGTCTGGTCTTGGAGACCATGTTGCAGATTCGTTGGACATTATAGCCTTCAAGGCTTCTCCCTGTGGATAAAAGGGGCTCAGAGGGATCAGTGATGGGCCTCCCAGGGTCCAGGGCCACCAGTCAGCTGGAGGAGCCACACCTCTGGGTTTTCCAGGCTAGAGACTCCTCTGTAGACTTCTGCCCCAGGAGTGTGTGCTTACCAACTATGTTCAAGTGAGAAGTCAACTTCTAAGAGGAGAATGACCAGAAAACATGAGCAAAAGAGAGACA